TAGCTTATTCAGAAAAGTGGTAAAGGTGCTCCACGCGATTCGGACTAACGCCTTCAGCCCACCCTGATACCGCACGCTTTGCCGCAGAGTTAGTTTAGTTGCGTGACCAAACCGAACCTAACTTACAAAGAAATAGCTTATTCAGAAAAGTGGGTAAGATGTTCCACGCGATTCGGACTAACGCCTTCAGTCCATCCTGATACCGCACGCTTTGCCGCAGAGCTAGTTTAGTTGCGTGACCAAACCGAACCTTTAAATTAAAAAGATTGAGCTCATCTTTCATCTCAGAATTGATTCTAGGAACTTTGAATAGACAACGTAGTGTATTCAACGTAAGCTGTGAGGAGAAATACTCAATTCAGGGTTGCCACAGAATTTCGAAAATGAAATTCCCTGACATTTCCCTGACACGTTTTGAAGAAATTCCCTGACAATTGAAAATGTGACGGATGGTTAAGAAGACATAATTGAAAATATTTTTCGAGCAAAATTTCTTGTTCAAAATCTCAAACCCAGTCTGGAAGGCAAATGAAGGTGATTGAACAAATTTTCCCTGATATTTTCGTCATTTTTCCTGATACACTGGGAAAAAAAAAACACATTGGATCTAGAGTCCAGACTCTTATAAACATCGAAAAGAAAATGTACTCTTGATTCAATCGAATTTTTGCTTAAATCAAGAACCAAGCCTCTTAATTTGAGCGGATTTCCTTTTGATTTAAGCTTAAATCTGATCGAATTAAGAATATTTTTTCTTGTCAATGTTTTCAAGAGTCTGGACTCTAGACTCAATGTGTTTTTTTTTTTCCAGTGTATTTCCCGGTTTTCTCTGACTTTTTCAGATTCCCTGACATTTCTCGGTTTTCCCTGACTGTGGCAACCCTGATATTAGGTCCGAGCAGGGTCCGATTTATTTTCCTACTGCGACAACACTGTTCCAATCAAAGCTCAGGTCTACCGCCATTGAATCCTCGAGTGCCGCCAAGTGCGCGTCATCCTTGCATTAGCGAATGCACTCGGTGCAATGTTGAGGGGGCAGAAACCGCCGATAACAGCCAACTGCGATTCCGCGGAAAGCTGAGAGCGTCATTCGCACGACGAACCTCACCGCTTGATTCGAGTGAGCTGGACGCCAATGTCGTGCTCAAAAAAAGCGACCTCAAGATTCGAAATCGGGGGAAAAATTCGAGTCGGTGCTAAAACTGGCAACGATGCCGGCGCTCGTTTACTGAAAGCGTTGCATTCTGCGGAGCGACATCTGCTGGATGCATTACGATTGCAATTTCGACGGAGTGATTCACTCCGTTAATGAGGTGAAGAGGCCTTTCAGCGAGTATCTGAAAAGCGCTCGGTTCGGTTGGAAGTTGCATTTTCCATTTTAAGCTTGCAGTTCTGCCTTGCTAAGGAAGAACGCCGTACACTGGAAAAAAAGCACATTGGATCTAGAGTCCAGACTCTTAAAAACATCGACAAGAAAAAGTACTCTTGATTCAATCAGAATCTAGCTTAAATCAAGAACCAAGCCTCTTAATTTAAGCGGATTTCCTTTTGATTTAAGCCTAAATCTGATTAAATCAAGACTCCACTTTCTTGTCAATGTTTTCAAGAGTCTGGACTCTAGATCCAATGTGATTTTTTTTCCAGTGTACGAACATTCGAGAGTTGCCAAATTTCCTTCGATAAAATGTTCATTTTTGAGGAAATATATGAATATTTTTTTCTGAAATTTTCAGGGACTTAAGGTGAAATTGCGCACAAAATTGGAAGAAAAATATTCATAGGTTTACCAGGAAATTCGTCTGTTATCAAAGGGAATATGGCAACGCCTCGTGGCTTTTCTAAAATTAGCCAGGAATATTAATTTCTAATAGCAGTTATAGTCCAATCCGTTACATTCCGGCCAGAGTATCACAAGCATCATGCGACGTTTGAAAAAATTTCCGAGGCCATTTTATATTACATAGAATTTGTTCAACGAAGCTGTCTGAAAATTTCACCGAATTTTCTGTGTGCTGCCGATAAAATTCGGTGAAATTTTCAAACGGATTCAACCAACAATTTCTCTGTAAAAAAAAATTGAATGGCGGCGGAAATTTTTAAACGTCGCATGGCGCTTGTGATACTTTGGCGGGAGGGTGACGAACCAGGGTGTCTAGTTTTTTTCCGTATTGGGAAATCCTGATTTTTCCTGATTTATGACTGCTGAATCCCGATGTCATAATTTTTCCAAATCCTGATTTTTCGCGGAGAAAAATTAAAATTTCTGCATAAGCGTGTGCGAAGGCGGGAATTCCGGACGGCCGAATTTTCTCAAATCCTGATTTTACGACCGCGATTTTTCCTCGAATCCTGATGATAGGGGATGAAATCCTGATGATATCGGGATGAAATCCTGATTGACCTCAAATCCTGAAAGAATCGGGAAAATCTGGAAAATCCTGATGCCTGCGAATTGAGAGTTAATGGTTCAGATTCGGCCATACTTGAAGCACTTTCAAGATCGATTGCTCAACAAGTTTTTAAACACCGCTTCCACGAGGAAAAACAAGCCGATGACGCCATCCTTCATCCCAATAGCATCATCAATTTTATCTTATCTACATATGATACGTTTCTTCTCTCGAGTCCGGAACTCCCATTCAAGTTCAGTTTCAATTTAAAAAAAAAAGAAAAAAAGAAAAAAGAATTCGCGGCGATTTCGGCGAAGAATCCTCCGCCGAAAGCTCTCTTCGTCGCCATTATTGCCATATAGTGCTGAAAAACGAGCACTTTTCCCATACGAGTCCGCATAAAATAGCCACATTTAATCGCATAATCTGGCAACTTTGTTCATCGCCCGGGCAAAAATTATAGATAAGATTATACGCGCACTCACGCGGTTACGCCGTGCTCTTGACATCCCTCGCGGAGGGCCATTCAACTTTCGCGAGCGAATTTGAGCGCCGCACAATGGATCGAGCCAAATAGGGAGGCTGGACAAAAAATTTTGACTAAAACTGGAAAATTTGATGTTTATTTCGTCAATTTTAAAACTGCAAGGGGTGCTTTGAGAAGAAAACTTCACGAGGAAACCAATGGAACCCCTCTTAAAACCTCAAAATTGTGTATAAACGGAGTTATAAGCGTTTAAAGTTTCCAAATTTTGTCCGATCTTTACCATTGACTCGATCCACTGTGCGCCGCCGCGAATCGTAGCAAGTACGCGCGGGCCCACGTTGCAAAGTTGCCAGATTGTGCAATTACATGTAGATATTTTACGAGCGTTTCGATGCGGGATAAGTTCTGGTTTTCCGACACTATCTGACAACGTTGCCACGTTGAGCCGCGACTTCATTCAAGTTTTTATCTACGACTCGATGAGATCATGCGGCCAGAAATGTGTATTCCGCCGCGCTAAGGAAGAACGCCGTATGAACATTCGAGAGTTGCCAAATTTCCCTTGATAAAACATGTATATTTTACGACATTCATGCAAAATTTCCCTTAAAATTTTCAGAGATTTTAGATTAAATTGCCTGCAAAATTGCCTGAAAATGATGGGAAAAAAATATGAAAAATTTTCCCAATAAATTCAGTTTTTTTCGCAGGAAACTTGGCAACGTTTGAAGGCTCATACGGCGTTCTTCCTTAGCAGGGCGGTATTCTTGACTCCTCTCGGTCACCTCTCTGACTGGTGCTCGATTGTAACAGGTTGAGAAACGGAGACACAAAAAATTGGAAGGTCAGATGAATGAAAGGACGCGCTTGTGACATAATTTAAGAGCAACGGCTGCATTCCGTTGAACTGATTATTTTTTACGTAAATCATTATTAACTGGAGAGAAACATATGATAGACAGCGATAGTCCAACCAGATGAGAGCCTCGGGTCTGCAGAAACAGAAGGTTTTGAGTGATTCCTGTGTATTTTTGTAGGGTGTCTACTTAAATACAAGCATGGATTTTCCTGACATTTTCATCATTTTTCCTGATATTTTAGACGAGATTCTCTGATTTTTTGCGCGAATAAATTGGACGTATTTCTGCCGAACGGAACTATGTGCATTATGACGTGAGCCCTGTTATGCATATATCTCACGGATCTCAGGGCTCATGTCTTGATGCACATAGAAATTAGTATCCTTATAGAGTCCATAGAATAGCCCATAGAATTGTCATGCACATAGTCCGTTCGGCATAAATACGTTCAATATTGATACTCAGTCTAGTATAAAAATTCAGCATACTTAATGAATTGAATCAAACGTTTAAAAAGTGCTTTAGGCACTACAATTCCTGATCCAAGTCTGATTTTTCTAAAATCTCATTGATTATATGTAATTGCCTGATTTTCCCGGTTTTTACTTACAATAAACACCTTGTTATTTAATCCTCATTTGACCTCTCCATTTAACATTTCCTACCGGCAAGTTTCAAATTTGGCAATAGTGGTAAAAAAAATCGGCCTTTTGGCGGTTTTTTACGCATAACCACCCAATCTTGACCGGACGTCAAAATCAATCCTCCTTAGATTTCTTGGAATATTGTAGGTAAGCAATTTTCCGGGCAAAATTAAACGCGCTACATTTGCAATTGCTATTCTCGGCTCGACCGAATTCCATTTTCCCTTGGGTATTTCCGATGAAAATTAATTGACGATTCAGATGAATTCAGCAGACAGACAGTCAGCTGAATCATTTCCTTCTTACCGAGGCTTCACGCAATGCTTGCATTCGGTGAAAGATGTCCAGGGTTTTAGGAAGGCGATGCTTTTTTGATACCTCAAAGTTCACATAAGAAAATTTCTCATGTGTTAGCGTGTTTTACGGTAATTTTACGAATTGGAGACTGGAAAATTAACTATTCTTAGAAGCAGACCCGAGATGACAAAAAATAAATGAAAAATTGATTATCCCATGAATGCGATCCATGTAAATCCTGGATGGTTTGATTCACTCGAAGAGCTTCCTTTCATCATCTGACCTTGCAATTCGGAAATATAATAAAAAGAGCAGCACTCACCAATTGTACCATACTGTCTATGGCTCTATTGAAACGATCACACAGTGATTTCATGGATTCATAACTGAAACAAAAACAAAAATTGGATGAATAGTAACGTGAAATGAAAGTATAGAAAATTATACGAATAATATTACACGCAAAGTTTGCACCGATCAAGACCTTGACCAAATCGCTAATCTACATTGACTTCAGATAACATTCCCAGACACGTGTGTTTATGATAATATAAAATTGATAACAATCGATCAATTCCTAAAGGTTTCAACGACGGATCGATCCATCGATCGCAAATCGATCCGGGAATCGCTCATCCCTAACGAGAACCCTACACAAATCCGTTGTTTTCGCCCGAAACAGAAAAGAAAACCCAAAACCCCTCCGACAGTTGGTCGTAACAGCATAACTCCAAACAAAACCTCTCGGGGGAGGGAGGATACCAGTTGGGGCGAAGCGTGACTGAGTAATCGACTATCACGATATTTCACTGCTGCCATTTCCCGGAATCAATTCCGAAAATCGGAACTTTTCAAATAATCGGAACTTCTCCCTGAATTTTCTGAATCCCCAGAATTTTCAGCTGTTTTCGAAATTTCCTTGAAATTTGCGGTTTTTCTCCAGTTTGACAATTTATTTGATCAAATTTAGGGGCATTTTGATTTTTGACGATGTTCGGAACTAAATCCGGAGAATTTTTCTCGGAACTTCGGCAAATCGAAATATGTTTCCGGAAATCGGAATTATTTCGGAATCTTTCGATAAAATCAAACGGCAGCGTTGCGATATTTCCCCATTTCAATCTATGATTAAAAGTCGACTATTAAGGTACACCCTATTAATCGATCCTTTTCATCGGTTTAAACGGCAGAGCGAGAGATTCATCGCAAACGACGACACGGCACTCGGCCTCCCTCGCGAGGACGGATTCTTTCCGGTCATTGGGTCCGCGCCAGGCCAGCGGGCGCCGCCGATCAGCGCGACATAACGGTGGCAATGACACGGAAACTTAAAAACTCCCCCCCACCCCCACCACGGGTCCTCCAGTCCAGACATCGACCCGCGGCGGAGGGTGCGCGGGGATGGGTTTGGTAGCGGCGCAGTTTCAAGGGTCCGGCCCGCCACCGCGCCGTCGTCCCCTCGCCGCCGGAGCATCGATCAGACTCGCGGGGGTGGCGGCCGCGGGGGGTTGAAGGGGGGAGGGGGCGCACCATTGATTTTCGCTCCTCGCCGGGGTGCAGTCGGAACTGGTGCGCCGCGACGAGACGCTGCGTTGCCGCCGAGGTCCCTGCGTTTCCTCCGCGGGGGACGAAATCCCCTGAAAGAGCAGGGTGTCTACTGAAACAGGCGGGCCAAAAACCAGTGCTTCTACGGTACATTCCCATAATATTCAGTACTTTTTCAGTACCTCCAATTGACCGAATTCGAAAAATTTCAAAAATTTGAATGTCTCGTATGAATTGAGACAAAAATGACCAAAAAATGAAAAAAATTCCGGACCTTTTTCGGAATGTCCGCACTTTTCCAATACTTCCGAACTCCCCTTTAAAAAGTTGGTAATGTTTCCGGACTTGTACGGACACCTTGAAGAGGGGTATCGAAATAGGCCGTTTCTGGGCTCACCCTGAATTTCCCCAACTTTATGATTTTTCGCTCGTTGAAGGTCCAGGGTTCTTCCCTTACGAAATGCACCAGGATTTTGGTCATTGCCAGTATCTCTCCGGGTCGAATTCACACGGAGAAAAAAAACTCCGACCCGAAGTTTAGGTCATATGGATCTCTGAAGTTTTCAGATTAAGCATCTGAACACTCTAGGTCTAGCTATCGAGGTTCGGATCGCACATCTAAGACTTAAGTTCTTACATCCGAAGTGCTTCGGTTTTCACATCCGAAAAACTTCGGTTCTCACATCTGAAGTACTTCAAATGTAAGAACTGAGGTTTCAGATGTGTGATCCGAACCTCAACAGCTAGACCTAAAGTGTTCAGATGCTCAATCTGAAAACTTCAAAGATCCATATGACTTAAACTTCGGGTCTCACTCACGAGTTTTTTTTCTCTGTGCAGGGTTGCCCCAGAATTTAGGTTCTGATGAGAAAATGAAATTCCCTGACATTTCCCTGACTGTGGCAACCCTGCCATTGCCACTATCTTTCCGGGTCTATAATACTGATCCAACATGGATTAACATCAGGTTTCCGCTATGAGCAGGTTTATTTACATGTGTCAAGGGACCCGAAACATTTCTGTTAAAATGGGTTTTCCGCTCCGAGCAGGGTCCGTTCAAACAAAGCTCTTCGGAGAAGATGTCGACGAAATATAGATCTTTCTGACTTTTTGAAAGACGTTTCGAACATTCCTTCCAAAATATTCAAAGTTGAAGAGCGAAAAGAGAAGAAAGTAATCACTTTGAAAAATTTGAGAGAGCAGGGAAATATCCCGGATCTCGTGAAAAGTTCGTCCGAGTGGCCCTTCTTGCACCCCTGACGCAATTCGCAGGATCTAGGGTAGAAATTTTACACTTTGGAGCCTCTAGACATAGGCACTTTCAATTTTTTTTTAGGTTGCGGAAGTTCCAAAGAGTGCGTAAATTATTTCGGCCTTTCCCTATGGAATTTAATCTCATCCATTCCTGACTTCATTCTTCAGGGTGAAAAATTCGCCATGATGCATCCATGAGACTGCTAAGATCGAACTCCTATTAATAACAACTTTCTCAAATTTTTAGTACTTTTTCTTGGTTTACCATTTTTGTGGTGCCAATCATCGAATAGAGAAATCTTGTGAAGAAATTAAACACAAAAAGCTCCCGAAATAGGAGCAAAGAGCAAGCACTAACAGCAGGATGACAAGGAAAAATAATTATATAATTACCTTCTGTAATTTTACTTGGGGCGAGTCAGAAGTGGAGAGGCCCCGGTTTGTTCAGCTCAAGGCAAAAACTTACTAGTTACCGGTTAATTAAGGGATAATTGGATGAATGAACGTTAAACTAGACGTGCTGAGACACATTACCTAATAAACCGTACATTATCCACACATTATAAATAGTATCAAAGCTATTTTGAGTTAATGGAGGCACGCAAGCTGATGCTGATTCACCACATGACCACGCAAGCGTTGACTACGATATTGTTTCAGATCGTCTAGCTCAAAAATATCACCTCATTTCATGCATTTTCTGTCTGAATAAATCGTGTTTGGAGGTCGTATCATCAATGACTGAGAATAAAACTCAAAAATTGCGATGATTGCCTCCATTCAGAGTGCTAAGTCATTTTACCTAAAAAGTTTTTTCGTACATAAAGTTTTCCTAATACTTTTTTCCTACTCGTTTTTTGTCCCATCACAATAAGTCCTACGAGTGAGATGTCTAACTGGCTTTTTTCCTAAGGGTATTCGTGCCAATAATCCAATAATAATTATAACGTAAACATGAGAAGAGCAGAGAGAAATGTTTCAGAAAGTGTAAAATTTCCTCGGAGAGCCGAATATAAGCGCGTGAACAGGAGATAGACAGCACAATCTAAGCCTTCTTTGCCCTCAATACAAGGAAGAGGATGAAGCTCCACTACTTGCGAGATACAGGCATGCAGCCACAAATTGTACTTGTGAGGTACCTGTGTTGTTTTTTTAAAATTGAATTTAGGACAGATGCCCCTAAGAAAACGTCAATAGGACATCTCACTTGTAGGACTGCGATGCGACAAAAACCAGAAGGAAAAAAGTATTATGAAAACTTGCGGTGGAAACAAAGTTTCAGGGGAATGACTTGTGAAGTAAATTGACAATATTTCTGATAACAAGTTTAGTTTTTCAATACTTCAGATACTGTGCCGAAATGTTGAGTCGAAATAGTATATTTTACAGATCCTTTTCACAGTCCAAGCGATTAAGGCAAAATTTAAGTTTGTAGATTAATGTTTATTTCTCGCCTGGCGTTGATTGAGGAACAACTTGTTGAGCATTTTATTGGCCCCGTGGTGGCAGATAAATGTCGGTCGAGTCGTTTGCGAAGCAATTTTATCACACTTCACAGTCAGATTGCCCGACACTGTTTATCAATCATCGATGGGCAAAGTTATCACCCTGAAGTTGCTGATCGGGTCAGGGATATTAGCTCTAATAGCCTTAGTGTTTACCAAAACCATGAAGAATTTGAACGAAAAACTCTTATTTCATTACCACAGAGTGTTTGATGAGCTTTTCAATGCTTTTTTTTCTGATATGGAAAATTGTAGAAAAATACATTTCAATGTGAGAAAGCCTTCAGTCTTGTGGCGTCATCAGGCTGCATTTCCCATTTAATAAAAACATGTATTTTAAAAAATTAGGTAATTTAGCTAATAACTGTTTATTTTAGAAATCAAACTTAGTGCTTGGATCTGCCGTGCTGAGGAAGGACGTCGTATGAGCCTTCAGGCGTTGCCAAGTTTCTTTTGATAAAAAGTGAATTTATTGGGAGAGTTATGGAGATTGTCTTCCAACTTTTCACACAATATTGTTCGCATTCTAACATAAAATACCTGAAAATTTCAAGGGAAAATAAGCATGACTTCCTTCCAAAACAAAAATTTTATCGGTGGAAATTTGGCAACTCTCGAATGTTCATACGGCGTTTTTCCGTAGCCAGGGTGTCTACCAGTTATAAAAAATCAAAATTGGGGACTTTTGGGGACTTACAGGGGTGTTTTTTCAAAAAAATCGGGGGCTTTTTTCCCGAAATAGTGAGAGAAAGGGAGCTTGTTAGAGCGTTAAAAGGCGTATTTTATGCGACTAATTTTACAGGTCATGTTGAACCGATGAAAACACACGAAAAACCAACCAACACTTCAGTGTTTCTGTTCCTGGTTATACCGTGCCGGGAAAATTTGAAAATGCCGGTGTTGAGGAGGATTTTTGTCATTTTTCGGGGACCTGAACAAGAAAATCAGAGACTTGCGGAGATATCGGGGACACCCTTTCAAAATCGAGGATAATTGGGACATTGGGGACCGGCAGACACCCCGATGAATTTCACCTGATTTTCTCCATTCTGGCTTTAGCGGGATCTCAAATCGTAAGATTC